CAACACTTGTAATGAAAGAATGGCAGAAGAGCTCAAGGTTAGAAGATATTGGAAGGGAAAAATGCTAGAAATAGCAATGTAGTTTTTAATTTTTTATTTCTAATAGCATTGTGGCTTCTTTTTTCCTTATTATAATATTGTACTTTCAAATTATTTTCTATTTGAGCATTGAACTTTAGGAAATTAACCCATTTTAGCAACAAGATTTGATTTAGGATGACATTTTAGCAACATTTCTTTCTTTGCATTCTCTAGTTAAAAATTACTAAAATGCCCTTATTGGCTTTTTTGATCCAGATACTGACAGGAGGGACTCTAGTCTCTAGAAACAAGGACTATATCGTCTTTTACAGGGGTAATGACTTTTTACCCCCTAATGTGACAAAGACATTGATCGAAGCACAAGACATAAGAGCTAATAGACAAGAGGATGAAGACAAAGCACGAGAAAAGGCTTTGACTTTCATTGACTTGACTCATAAAAACTCGGTCAAAGGCCCGTTAGTTGCCGGGACCCTCGCAGAGACCATGGCCGCCACCTCACGGTGGGGAAGCGAGCGGAGCAAGGAGGAGATTGAGAAAATGAGGAGGGATTCAGCGGTTGCCAGACACGCTTCTCTTGTCAGATTGCTTGAAAAGAAGCTAGCTCTTGTAAGTTACACAAAACATTCCTTTATGGGTTACATGGGACCAAGGGTATTTTTGTCATTTCACATGAACATCCTGATCTTCTTTATGTGATTTCAGGCGAAAGGAAAGATGAAAAAGGCCGAAAAGGCATTAGCAAAAGTTCAAGAATATCTGCAACCATCACAACTTCCTACTGATTTGGAAACATTAACAGATGAGGAGAGGTTTTCACTTCGTAAGATAGGGCTGAGTATGAAACCCTACTTGGAGTTAGGTAAATACTAAATACATCTTTGCCTCCAAAATATTATGTTTAAATTTTTTGAAATCGGTTTATTGTTGTAGGGAGAAGGGGTGTATTTGATGGCACAATTGAAAATATGCACCTACATTGGAAGTACAGAGAGGTAGTGAAGATAATGGTGGAGAGGAAAAGCTTTGCACAAGTGAAACATGTGGCCATTTCTCTTGAGGCAGAAAGTGGTGGAGTTTTGGTGTCTGTAGATAAAACCACAAAAGGGTATGCAATTATTGTTTATCGTGGAAAGAATTATGAGCGCCCAAAAGCAATCAGACCCAAGAATCTTTTGACTAGAAGGCAAGCTTTAGCCCGTGCAATTGAACTGCAAAGGCGCGAGGTAAGGGTATTTTCGTAAATGTGATGGTTTTTTGAAAGTTGTGGTTCTGATAATTGGTTTTGAAATCTTGGATATGTACAGGCGTTAAAGCATCATATCGTGGAGTTATTGGAAAGAATCGAGAAGCTGAAAGGGGAACTTGTATGATTTTACTCGAATTCTCTTTACTTTGTTTTTGATGGTGTATGAGGGTATTTTGGTAAATGAATGGGTATGGATTATTCGGTATTTGGATTATGCAGGAGGATATGAAGATTGTTGATGAGGTTGATGAAGAGACGTTGAGATCGAGGATAGAAGATGATTTGGATTTGGATTCGGATGATTATGGTGGAATGGAAGAGGTAATCATGATTCATGAAACCACTTTTGTGCTTTTGATGTTTTGGCTTATCTAAAGGGCTAAATGAAAGAAATAACAACTTACTTTTCGTTTATTTGTTTATTGTAGAATCCTACTTTCATTTCTTTCTATTATAACATTGTAATTATTTAGACATTATACTTTGAAAAATCTATCCAATTATAGGAGTGAAATTTATTTTGTATTTGAATGAGCTATGATTGAATTGGATCGATTCTCAAAAGTAAAATATAGGAACTAGAAAAGAGATGAAAGTGGGATGCTATAATAAACAAATGAATGAAAGTACATAGTTATTTCTTGCATTTAGCCCTAATTTTTAAATGAATTTATGCATGTTATCTAAAATGGTGTGGTGTTGATGCAGGATGAAGAAGCATACCTGGAAACATATGAAGATAGTGATCAAAGATGAGTGAGATCCATGTGAATATTAGTTTTAGTTGTTCATCTCAACACATATGCAAAACTCAGGTTATGGATCAAAGATTATGTGATTTTATATTATCTATATATTTTTTATGGCCTCGTGCCTATGCTGTATTTATGAGTGAAAAGTCCCTGAATTCTTTTGAAATGAGGCATGAGAGCTTGTTTAAGCGGCATTCGTCTATATTTGAAATCAGTTATAGTATTGGTAAAAGAGTTTGATGATTTTATTTGAAGCTAGTAGTATTAATGTTTGTTTGGTGTCGCTTTTGAAAATTTGATATCCATTGTTAGTCATGATGTTTAGAATTTAATGTGTCCTTTTAAGTGATATAATGAACAAATCCTGACGATGTCATCACTAGTGGGACTGGAGACTTGATATCATCATTATGAAATCTGCCAAAACGATTTAATTGGGGAAACAGAATAATTAGAAAAACTTGTCGTTTCACCATGACATATGGTGTTTTTGGACTAATTGAAATTTGTTTAACGCCTCAAAATGACGCTTTATCCGAATAAATTTTGGTTTATTAGGATTATGGAAAAAAAAACTTATCTTTTTTCTCCTATAAGGATTTTTTTCATGTTATTAAGGAGAATTTTATTATCGAATATCTGTATTGGAATTCCATTTTTGGGTTCTTTATGTTCGTATTGGGAATCCATTTTTCAATTCTTGATGTTCGTATTGGCTGTATTAGCCGTGATCGACCATTCAATCAAATCATATGGACATCACTTTATCTTGACAATGTAACTTTCATATTATTGCAGAAATCTTTTCTAAAAAGATGAGAGTTTAATATTTACGTGAATATAGAGTATCCACAAAATTATAATTAAAACACAGATTATGTACAATCCACAACTAACATATACATACACATAAATAACACTTGATAGGAAATATTATAATAAATTTCAAAGCTTTAATCTTATGATTGATGTGGAATGAGTTATTATATGTACCCTTTCACTCACATAAAATATCAAACATAGGGGTATACACATTCATTCACTCACACATGGGGCAAAATTCTGAAAACCGGACCAGACATCAAACCGGCCTCTGTCCGACCGGTTGGACTGGCCCAAAAAACCGGATATATATATATATATATATATATATATATATATATATATATATATATATATATATATATATAATCATTATAATAGTAACAATCATCATCTTACTATGGTCTTTTGAAGTTTTAAAATGAATCGATCGCTTTTAATGTATTTTTTTTTAAGATTTGTTATAAAGAAAGTAGTGAAGTTGGAAAAATATTAGATAGGTAGGTAGTAGTATTGAGAATAAGAAAGAGAAATCAATCTTGAAGAACTGAAATATTAGTTGGGTGCTATATATATACCCACTCATTTAAATAGTCGAATCATGGGGGTACAACACTCGCTCACAAGGGAGTACATGAAGCAATTTAGAGGATACATATAGAATTAGCCTGTTATTAGTTTTGAAGGAATCAGTATCGTCCCACATCAACTAGAAAACTAAAGTGGGAGAGATATCGAGTCTTATAAAAAGAAAGGAAGCCAAAGTGAAATTGTTTGAGTTTATGCAATTCACTTTTGTGTTTCTTCTTTAATTGGTATCAAAGTGCGTCTAGTAGAAAAAGGCTATGTACAAGAGCAAGGCATTGACTTTGATGAAGTATTCGTGCATGTAGCTCAACTCGAGATAATAAGACTATTAATTGCTCTCACAGCCGTGAACAGATGGAATATTCATTACTTAGACATAAAAACTGCATTTTTATATGGAGATTTAAAAGAAAAAGTGTATGTGTGCCAACCGGAAGGTTTCATGAAGCAAGGTGAAGAAACAAAAATCTACAAATTGGCAAAAGCTTTATAGGTCTTCGACAATCTCCGAAAGCATGGAATTTGAAGCTTAATAACACATTGAAAAATATGGGTTTCTAACGATGCATGCAAGAGAATGCGGTTTATAGAAATGTTTTAAATGGAGAATACATAATAGTTGCAGTTTATCTAGATGATTTGTTCGTGATGGGAACAAGTTTAGAGTTCATAAATCAATTCAAGAGACTAATGGCGTTACAGTGTGAAATGTCGGACCTTGGTGAATTAACTTGCTACTTGGGTATTGAAGTATTGCAAGAAAATGGTTGTGTAAAGGTGAAGTAAGAGAGTTGTGCTATGAAGATTCTAAAAGAGGCAGACATGCAAGAGTGTAATGCAACTCAATGTCCGATGGAGCTAGGACTAAAGTTGTTAAAAGGTGAAGATGAACCAGAAGTCGAAGTTACCCATTATCGAAAAGTAATGGGTTGTTTATGATATCTCTTACACAATCGTCCAAATTTAGCATATTCAGTTGGAGTAGTTAGTCGTTATATTCAAAGTCCAAGAGAATCTCATGCACGCGCTATTAAGCAAATTATCGTTACTTACATAGTACTCCATCTTTTGGGATAGTATATAAACGGAGTAAAAATATGAGCTTGATAGGTTACAGTGATAACAGTCACAATGTAGATGTTGATGATGGCAGAAGTACAACAGGGCATGTCTTCTACTTTGGTGACTCACCTATCACTTGGTGCTCCTAGAAACAAGATACAATAACTTTGTCCTCGTGTGAAGATGAGTTCATGGCAGCAACTGCAGCTGCATGTCAGGTAGTTTAGTTAAGAGAGTTGTAAGCTGAGCTAACAGGAATGAATAAATAGAAGGTGCTGATTCGCATAAACAACAAATCAAGAGAAGTCGTGCAGTTTTGCATGCCACGACGTGGCTACGTGTCCTAATCTAGAAGCTTCGGTGACTATCTGCATATGGGATTTCATAGAAGACCAGGTCATGGTGGTCAAATATATGGCAGCTATAAATATGCGGATATTAGGTCGAATTTAGGAGTTTGACTTAAGGAAAAAGCTTTGATTTAGGACTAAAAACCTCTGGAAAACCTGGAGAATGCTATAAATCGAACAAATTGCAAGAGTTGAAGAGAATTAAAGGAACAACATCATCAAATCATTCGGTTTGCTAGATTTTACCATGTCTTTTCTAGTTAACTTATATTTATTGTTTGTTTCTAATTTAGTTATGTGTTAATCACCCCCATACTTCTATTTGGTGTAGATGAACCTTGATCGTATGTGTCGATTTCGAATATTGGATGTTTTATATTGATTTTACTTATGTTTGATAAACTCTAGCAGGTTTAGTTCTAGTCTTTGAATGGCTTGATATGATTTTAGTGTAGTAGATGATCATTCTATTTACATGAACTTGTTGTCCCAATTGTTCATGATCATTAAATAATTAGGGCTAGGATTAATCACATCTTAGACTAGGTAATTAAAGCTAGTAGCTTTAACTATGTTAGAGAGCATAATTAATCTTAATTTGTGTTGGTTTCTTAACTTGATCATAGGAAAGTAACTTTTATCATTCATAGTTCGATTTGTGCTTACTATCAATTTAGTGTTGAACTTGTGCATGATCATTACATGGTAATACATAAACTGGTAAGTCTAGATATTTGATCATTATAGCTAGATAACAAGTTGGTAATCAATATATTCCATCCATTATAAATCAACCATAGGAGAAGGTGGATCGGATCTAAGCAGAAGTACTCTTTAATTCCTGAATTTAATTTGCGCTTCTTTGCTTGTTAGGGGTTTTGATTGTATTCCAAAATTAGGGTTTTTAAATGTATTCCGAAATTAGGATTTTTGTATGTATGTTTTAGAATCCGAAAATCGGGTACTCTATTTTAGCCCATAAATTCCAGACCCAGTTCATTGTATTCCGGACATGATTTTCGGATTCTGAACACATTCAAGACTAGCACAAATTAGGGTTTTTGATAATGATGTATCATATAGTATACATGTATAAGTCCATGTAATCCCATAATTGTCTTAACACGATACCTATATAATTGCGTAAACTAAACATTTTTAACGTATAATCTAAAATAAATGCATTTAATTAGAAACAAATTTGAAACTTAAAAATAAAAATTGCATTTCTTCACTACTATCAGAAAATATTTTCAGTTGTAGAGGTGTCCGAAGGGATGTCGAAGTGTAGTCTGAAATAACAATTGAGATTTCGCGTTTATTATATTACTCTGATTTTTTAACAAATGTACTTTGGAGCAAATGGTTTTCTTAACTTGGATTCTATAAATGTAAAGTTTTACCTTAATTAAAAATGAAATTTTTTGCTATGAAAATGGGACATTACAATTGTTTTTATTTTATTTTTTTATTTTTTGTAATAAAAGAAAATTGAAAAAACAAATTAAAAGGGGTAAATCCATCATTTTTAAAAATTTAAAATATTTTTGGATCGAAGTCGTAACAAAATGAACTTTTAGACCGGTGATGCTACTCCAAACATTTTTGGACTAAAGTAACAATTTTCGACAAACCACATGGACCATTCTTACAGTTTTGACTTTTTAAAAAACCAATAAAATAATAAGTTTTTACTCCCGGACACTGTATGTTTAAATTGACGGTTTAAATACAAAAGTTCCACCAAACCCACACCCCTACCAGTAGGGATGTCAAAAAGTCTCGTGGAACCCGAACCCATCGGGTCTTGATCACGAATGGGGGATATTTGTTAAAAAAATATAGGGTGGGGGCGAGGGCGAGGAAATTAAAGATTAACCTTTATTTTAATTTCGGAGGTGGGAACGAAATTGGGCAGTCCCACCCTAAACCACCCCCCCCCCCCCCCCGAATGCCCCATTAACATATATATATATATATATATATATATATATATATATATATATATATATATATATATATATATATATATATATATATATATATTAGTTATATAAATATAATAAATAATAGCTATTCAACAAATTACCCTTCCATGGCTTGACCCTACCCACTTGACCAAAAGTCTAATTTTGACAAATTACTCTCTGGTGCTACGCCTTGTGTACATCATGCTCTAAGCGCTGCATAGAGCCTTAGATGGAAAGATCGGGGAACAATCGAGCTACACTGGCGTAGCCCAATTTACACCCAATGTACCATGCAGTTAAGCCATTTCCATTTTTAGCTCTTAATCTATAAATACCAACCATCTACTGCTCAGATCTGGTCCTAATAAACGTCTTAAGTGATAAAGTCGATAACTTTATGCATTTGCATGGCTAAATGGAGCTCAAAATCAAACCCTAATCGCATAACATTCACTAATGACCAAAAACATTCTTGCATGGGTGAATGAAGACAGCCAAGATCCCATTTTTTATGACTCATCAACCTCAGAAATGACAACCATAGGGTCTGGTGTAGCTCATACTCACAAGACTCAAGATTATTGTACAAAAGAACATGAAAACCAAAAATCTAATGAGATCTAACACATGGACCAACAAGGTACAAGCTTTATACCTTCTAAAGTTGAGTAATACAATGTAGGCTCTGGCTCTACAAGCTTGAGCTTCACCAATCCACAAGCTTGGACTTCTCCTTCTTCAAAAAGCACTAAAACACATAAAAAGGCTCAAAATTTGCTCAAGAGGATTAGGGTTTTGAGTTGGGTGTCAAAGAGGGTGGAGGTTGATGATAAGAAGGGCCTCAAGGGGTTAGAGTCCTTAAATATGGCTCAAACCCCCAAAAATTAGGGTTTGCACCCTGCGTAACTAAGGTTACGCCATGTGTATGGCATAAAAACCCCGCATGGGCTTAACGAATTATGTCATGCCTACGCCCCACACAGAGCCATAATTCCCAAAAACTCTAATCTGTCATACATAAACCAAAATCTTTCATACATTTTTGCTTTTAACATGTAATTTCGGGGGCGGAGACTGGGCGGGGGAATGGGGATATTTCAGGGGTGGGGTGGGGAATGCAAGCCTGTCCCATTTGCGTTCACTCACTAGGGTTTTAGGCTTTTATCAAACCGTTACAATGTATTTCTACAACAAGCTACCACTCATCCGGGACATCGTCATCGAATAAAGCTTCTCCGGCGGTAAAAAGCCCTAAGAAATAGTCGTCACACGGGCAAAAATTATTGACGAAATTGGTAAGAAATAGTGACAGAAAGAAAATTAGAAAAGTCTATTGATTACTTCCAAATTGTTGATTAGTTAAAGCTTACCCTTATTCCTAGCATCAAATCATCTACCTCTGCTTAGTTTCATTTAGATCATTAATCTTGGAAGTAGACGAAGCAAACTACTAACTTTATCAACAATTTACTGCAAGACGACTTGTATTCCTTAATTTACAGATTTCGGTGCCTAATTACTAGTTTGCTTGTCCTACTACTATGATTGATTATTGTTTATTGTTAATACTTAATAGTTTATTTTAGTATAGATGAAAAAGAACTAGCTAGATCTTTAATAAGATTATTTTCAAGAATAACTTGAGATTCTTGCAAGATGCCCAAGATACATAGGTTTTGTGGTAATTTATTTATATTTTGCATCAGGATACATCTTATATACAGGGTGTGTTTAGCATCATCCAATATCTAGAAATTATATTTTTGTTAATGCTATCAACTCTATTTCTTTCGATGTCTTTTATGTGCTACTATAAAAAACGAAAGATATCATCTATTCTAATAAACGAATGTTTTTTTTTGTTACATGTCACACTTTCATTCAATTTGTCAAATGTTATTTTATGATTATTTTAAATTAATTTTTTCCACATGTCATTTTAAGAGTTATTTTATTTTATTAAATTCAACATAATATTTTAATGTAATAATTGCATTAAATGTAGTAATAAATGGAAATCAATTTCATTAATGAATTACCTTTTAATTTCAAAATTCCAAAATTAAAACTCATTAGTTTCTTTTGTTTATTTATTTAAATTTAAAAGATAAAATAATAATTTAAAAAAAAAAAAAAACATTTTAGTTATAATAATTTATTATTTTTCTTATTTTCTTATAAATTCAAAGTTCTCAAATAATTTGACATTTATATTTAATCTTTTTTTTAAATTAAGTCGTTTAATATATGGATCTCACAACTAGTGTTTATAATGTATCACTTTATCCCGTCCATTAAACTTGAAAATTATTGCAAGAAAAGACTTTTAAATAAAATGAAAGCTTATTTAGGTGAATCTAGAGTTTCCAAAAAATGTCATTAAAAAGTAGATAATATAAAATCCTCAACTAACATATAAATAATATGTGCATTAAGTAGTAGTTAATTATACGAGAATATTAAATCAAACCTCAAAGCTTTAATCTTATGATGGATGTAATCATCCATAATTTGACCAAGGCAAATGAAACATTACAGGAAAGTTGCTGCAATAATATCCGATTATGCTTCATGCTATGTTTATGTTGTGGTTAATTTGACAAATAAAACATTACAGGAAAGTTCCTGCAATAATATGTGTGAACAACTACAATAACTTTCTTTACACAACAAACACATATGTTTTCAATTTCATTAATAACTCCATGTCTATACACTGATACATACACACGTATATATTGACATGCAGCCATCTCAACCATCACAACCCTTTGTAGCCATTGCAACTCTTCATAATTTGGTGGTTGGCAATAATAACAAACTATAACTATCACTTAATAACTAACTAATTAACTGTCCATAAATAACTAGTTTTAACTGCCATAATTTCCTGGCCACTAACTACCTAGTACAATTACCAACTTAAACTATATTCTTTAAGACTAGTCCAACTTATACTTTCAATAGTGTATTGGTGATAACACATCCTAAGAAAAAAAATATTTGACAATAGTTCATTTAAGGCTTGCACGCCACAAGTAACTTATTTTTCGACTTTTTTTTTAGTTTTTCATATTTGACAAACCAAAAAAAATAACAAATAGATCATTTTTAAAAAGCTATTCAAACTACCGTTTCAACGAGCTTTTCTTAAATTCTCCCAAATGTACCATTTATTACTTATAAAGAAAAACTCAATATTCTACACATCCATTTAGGTCATTTTACATGTTTCAGCTAGTTTTACCAAATGATATTTTTTATCAGTCCGTCAAATATAGCCTAAAGCATAAGACACTTATGCTAAAGGAGAATGAAGGCTTTGAATGTTAGTAAATCTATCCTTTTTTACTATACAAGTGAGTGATTGTTCATAAGTTATCATTCAGGGAGGATTGAAGAGAAAATACTTATTGGCTATATTGCTCATGAAGATATATATATATATATATATATATATATATATATATATATATATATATATATATATATATATATATATATATATATATATATATATTGGCCCTTTATACAACATATACTGTATAAGGCATTTGTGTAATTGTCCGTTATTAACATAAAGTGATAAGTTTCCCATTTTTGTGTAGAATTTGTGAAAGTTGAGTTATCTTGGTTGCAGGACGTTCATGAATCCTGGTCCACACATGGTGGGCGATGACTATACACCCACCACGCACTATCTGCATTTGATATCTTTCTTCGTGAAGGATCTTGTCTGAAGAATCTGCTTCCCATGCAAGTGAATTGACTAATGCTACTGTTATCATAATAGACCAATTAAGCTCTTTTTATCAGACATATATATATATATATATATATATATATATATATATATATATATATATATATATATATATATATATATATATATATATATATATATATATATATATATTTCCTTCCCAAGTTTGTTTGAGCGGTCAAGATCATCTCTAAAAAAGGCATCCATGCATCATGCATGGCCATGGCATCCAGTAGCTAGGAGCATGTTTTGATAACAAATTGCCACCTAGCTTTTAGGAATTCAGTCTGCAAACTTATATATGCATTGCATGGTTCCTTCACAATCAATTAATGGTATCATCTTTGAAAGATATTTGAGCTTCTAAGAAGTCTGCTCTAAATTCATCAATATTTACCTCAATTTTGGATTGTTTTTAATACCAATTGCTCACATATATGTAATTTGTTACCACCAATGTATAACTCTTCATTGATATTTATTCATGATCTATTATCGACTTTATTATCCAATATATATCATATGTTATGGCCTTTAAAAAAAGAAAAAGAGAGCAATCAAATGAGTTGAGTTGATTGAGGGACCAGTGTGAGTTGGACGCTTATTTAGACAACATGCATTCAGTGGCGAATTTGCATTTGCATTTGCATTTGCATTTGCCTTTATCTTTACCTTTGTAATTTGCCTTTACGATTTACCTTTATCACCAATATATACAATACAAATCACAATCGAATTATTTTGGGAAAATGACTTAAAAGTCCAACGAAGTTTTCAAACCATTTAAAAAAACTCAATCATGTTTTATCTGTTCAAAAAAACCCAACGAACTTAACATTTTGTCTAAAAAGTCCAACAAAGTTCCAAACCGTTCAAAAAATCCTAATTTTGTTTTGTTTAAGTTCGTTAGGTTTTTTTTTGAACAGTCAAAACATGATTGGAGTTTTTTAAACGTTTTGGAAACTTCGTTGGTCTAACAAGTCATTTTTCCGACACGGTAATATGTCACGTCATATGTTTCTGTTATTTGACTTTAAGGAAAGTTTAACTTAGTTGGGGTTTTTAGAAAAAATGTTAAGTTTGTTGGGTTTTTTTGAACAGACAAAACATGATTGGGGTTTTTTAAACGGTTTGAAAACTTCGTTAGGCTCATAAGTCATTTTCCCAATTATTTTTGTGAGATTTATCATTTATCATACATTTTCCTTGGTCAAATTATGGATGAATACATCAACCATAGGATTAATGCTTTGAAGTTTGATTGGATGAATTTAATTTAATTTTATTGTATTAAGTAATAAGTACTACTTAATTAGTTGAGGAAACTCTGGATTCTCCTAAAAATTGTACTATTAATTTATACTTTTTCATTTGTTTAAAAAGTTTCATGGGAGAGATTATAACCATGCATGAAATTTCATTTTCTTAAAGTAGCAATATTCGAAGCAACATACATACCTGACCTCAATGGCTCCATAATTTCAAGTCTTTCTGAAAACAAATATTGTGCTTTACATCTCCTTACACATCTTCATTAATTTCAAGTCTTTCTCAAAACAAATCCTCCTTCAAGATACCAGCATTTCATTTCTATTACAGGATGAAACTGATCTTCAGTCCGAATTTGGAACATGAGTATAATCGATTTCATGAATATATGGCGTCTTGCAGCAATATTACAAAAGAATACCAATCTCACTTGTGGCTCTCGATATACCAGTCAGACCAGCAAAACTGGTACAGCAAACCTCTGCCATGGATTGGGGTTTATATCGCATCAGCATCTCTGTTTTGCATGCTTGCAATAATGGCGGATTTAGTACATGGTTTTCATAACAGAAAGTTATGGTTTCCGTGTAACTATTTCACTTTGAATGCTGCATCTCTCACTGTGATAGCTGTTGCAATAAAGCTACCCAATGATCTCACTAATCTAATGCCAGGTCATGTGGACCACACTGCAAAGCTTGGAAGCTTAAGCTTTATGTGCACCATCATGGCTAATTTATTACCTTCTCTAGCTACCATGGAAAATAAGGAACTTGTCTCAGACTTGATAGCGTTAGTCATTCTGGTAATCACCTTGGTTGTCAACGTTTGCATTCAAATAAACACAAAAGTTCTCTCCTATTCGGGAGATGATAAATCTTTCTTTGATATTTTTGAGCAAACGATCAATGGTCGCTGACATATTGGCAGCGTGTCTCACCAACTTACCCCAAGCCATAGCATTGAAATGCCATGCAAAGGAGATAGAGAAAAGGGAGGCGAGTGTCCATGCAGCAGCTCAACTGCTCGGTGAGACTGCACAAATAATCAACACCCTTCAAGATCGTGAACTTCCAAACTTGAATGGTGACGAGTTGGCATTTATTGACAAGTGGCATGCTTACTTAAAGTATCCCTTTCCTTAAAAAGTCTTTTGTTTTTTGAGGAAAGTTCATAAATACTTGTTGGTAATTTTTATTCCTGAAACAACAAATTGCATGTCATGGTATATGTACTCTTCTATGCTTGTTTTTGAGGCGTATGATATTCCTTGTATATATATAGTTATGTGGCAATATGTTTTAAACGTTGTGTAGTTGAAATGAAAACCAGAATTTTTAAGTATACGTTGTACTCGGTTGGTGAAAGTCTTTAAACCTTGATTATTCTTGTCAAACAACATTTTTATGCCCAATGTTTTTCTTTCTTGTTTACTTCATCATTCAATTCAGTCACTTGTACATTCTTGATTCTTTCGATGGGACTTGAAACCAACTCAATCCACAGCGATCTCACTTTAATCGGCTTCTCATACTCTTTGCAACTATTTCATATATTTTCAAAAGAAAGGGACATATAATTGACGAGTGCTAGAAACTACGAAACAAGAACAAAGCCAATGCTAAGGATAAACAATCCAATGAATCAAGCCACGTTTGTGTAGTCTGGGATGGTGGTAGTGAGCTTCTAGACATTATGGATGAAGGTAATGGTTGTTCACTCAAATGGATTCTTAATTGAAGATGCACCCACCATGTGTCCTAAAAGAGTGGTTTCCTACATATGAGCCTCATAGGCTCTGTTCTTATAAGAGATGTCATGGACTTCCTTTTATTGACAAGTGGCATGCTTCCTTAAAGCAAACCTTTCCCTAAAATGGTATGTTGAAAAAAAATTGTTGTAATGTCTTTTTCCCAAAAGATCATCTCAACTTTTATTTGATATAAACTACCAAATCTAGGAAATGTGGTTTATGCCAATACATGACAAGACAGACAGACGGGGCAATTTGATAATAAAAACATACTATAAATTTGGAACCCAACAAAAACTACTTACCCTTGTTTCCTCGAGTTTAATCTTATGCACAATGAATTCTTCAATTTAAACATCAACACCAAAATAAACCATAAAAAAGAGGCAACACATAGAGGCTTTCATTTTTCATTCAAAATCAAACCTCTAATATACGACCTGATACCAATATTACAAAAATACCATACTTACAAGCCAGTTCATGTGCATGTTCTCCCAAGTGCCACCTTTGCCGAAAAGACTTGTAAAAAGACACATTTATCCCCACTTGGACAAAGAAAATTAAGAGAGAACACGCTACAACAACTTACAATACAAGGTCAAATCCGTAATTTTTACTTCATGCCTCCACAGCGGTCACCTCTTCATCGGTTGAATCCGGTGCAATAACATCATCTACTTCTTCTTCAGCATCTGTAGTCTCCTTTTTGGGTTCATCAACAAGTTTTTCCCTAAGTTTTGCCTCGAGTTCTTCACGTACAGGTAAATTGTTGGCCAAGTAACGTTTTATGGCATCTTTACCACAAAACTTCATTTCACCCATGCTGTAATACGCCCCACCAGCTTTCAATATAAATTTGTGTTTTATACCTAACTCTATAAGCTCTGACTCACGACATATACCCTTCCCAAATTCAAGCTCAAATTGAGCAGTTCTATAAGGTGGTGCAAGCTTGTTCTTCATAATCTTCACCAGAACTTGACTTCCTAATGTCTGTGTACAAGACAGACACAAATGACCATTTTACCCTTACATTCCAAATAACAAATTTCACAACATTCATCAATTGGGACAAAGAAAGAAGAAGGGCAAATAGGTAAAGGGTTAGTGTCTTAACATATTAAGCCAGGCTTTTTGGCTTAATCCATTAGGTCATTTTGTCCAGATTAAGTCAAAAAGAAACAACCATGTATAGATAGATGTCCATATGAAGTGCTTAACCCATTAATCCCAAATTACTAAAAAATATTCAAATTACCTCTTCGCCCTTCTTGACAAGTCCTATTCTCCTGATATTTAGACGAATTGAAGCGTAAAACTTCAAAGCATTTCCACCACAAGTCACTTCAGAGGGTGCACCAAATCCAAAAGTAGCTAGCTTTGACCTTACCTGAGTCAAATTTGTAAATTACTCGATTCAGACTATATCTTATCTCTAAAAGGTAAAATTTATATGATTTTTAGTACCTGATTAATGAAGATTAAAATAGTTTGTGATGTAGATAACGAATGACTTAATTTACGAAGTGCCTGACTCATAAGTCTAGCTTGCATTGCCATGTGTGCATCACCCATTTCACCATCAAGTTCACTTTTAGGCACAAGGGCAGCAACCTGACATTACAAACCCATAAGTTTAAAAAAAGATTCTTTTTTTTTTGGTAAAATTTGTATTTATAAAATAGAGACCTTACTTACACTGTCTACCACAACAACATCAACTGAACCACTTCTGATAATGGTATCTACAAGACTCAAAGCTTGTTCACCACAATCTGGCTGTGATAATAACAAATCCCGAGTGTTTACACCAATAGCTTCAGCTAATGATGGATCAAGGGCATGTTCAGCATCAACAAATACACAATAACCTATAAAAGATTTTTAAAAAGAAAATGACTTTTTGTAAACATAAAAGGGTATGAAATGTAATCAAGAATTTAGATATTCACCTCCTTGTTTCTGTGCTTCAGCAATTACATGTAATGCAAGAGTTGTCTTTCCGGAAGCTTCTGGACCATATATCTCCACCACACGTCCCTGAATAAACAGATTGAAACAAAGAACATCAGATGAAATTGGAGGGTATAAATGGGAGAAATAAACAGAGTGTAAATACCTTTGGAAATCCACCAACTCCCAATGCTATATCTAATGCGAAAGATCCTGTAGACACTACTGGAACGTGTCTGGGAGAAGGACACTGACCAAGAAACATGATAGAACCTTTTCCATGAGAAGTATTGATTTGATCAATTGCTTGTTTTAGGGCTAGATCTTTTTTGGACATACCCTCTTCACCTGAATCACTTCCATCAGATTTTGATTTCTTTTTACCTAGAATTTCAAAGATGTTGTAAAGATAAGCTCATTACCAACAAACAAAGAAAAATGGTAAAAGAAAAACAAAATCATAGTCACCTTTAGTAGAGAAACTGCTTGTCTGAGATGATGATCCAAGTAAACATATCTTAGGAGCCTGCACACCAATAACCAAGCAATTAAAAGGATTCCAGAAGGGGATTTCATTATGAGTCAAAATACAACCCCAAACATACACCCCATGGTTAAATAAAGCCCAAGATTACCAGATTTCTAAGTGGATTCTTTCTCATATAATTCAAGGTAGTTACTGTTCAGTACTCTTGAACATGAATAAATGATCTTTCTCGCTTTCCTTACCAAACTACTTTCAAGTTATTACATTCTTATTCCTTGTGAAGCAAAAAAGCTACTGTTTTAGTTGGTCCATAACTCCCAAAGAAACATGTAAATTATTTGCATCTGCAATTCAGGCTTTGTGAAAAGCCTGGATGAACACTGCTATACTTCCAAGACATTTGAGGTGTTAGAATCGCATTGTCAAAGTTAAAGAGTAAAGTCATACATCCAAAAAAATCGGTATAACACTTATTGAGTTGCTTTCTAAGCTCAACATATAGGCACGCCATCATCCTCCACACATGACGTTAAAAACTATACACAAACACATTATCTAATGATGGTTTAATCTCGATTTCTAGTGAATCAACCAAAACACAGTCAACTAAAACCTCTACCTGCACTATGCGATGTCATTTTAATGATTTCTCCAAATCAAAAGTACAGAGGAAGATAAAACATGAAACACAAAAAATCAATCGAGAACAAAATGGAGAAGCGCTTTGATCACCTCAAAATAACATACGGAGCGTTTCAGAATCGACACGTTTCGAAGCAGCCTCGCCATTCTGCGTATACTGCTGGTATATCTGAATAAACAAATAACAAAAAAAAATCTTATCACCCCACAAACACGCGGAGCTATACTGTTTCCTAAGGGTTTAACATAAACCCTAACCAAGTTCCTTTTTCCCCTCTTTTGAGAGGGAGATTAACTGGTTTGATTTTTTTAGGGTTTAAGGGTTTCTTTTCTCGTTCTTTTCCCTCCTTTTGAACTGAAGATATTTACACATAGCATCCCTTATGTTTCATTAATCCAAACAATATGCATAGTTGTAAAACGTTTTTTCATAATAAGAAAAGAGTTCAATACTTTAGTGTTTCTCAAAAGAAAAACATGAAATTAGAGGAAGCATATTGCATGATGTTGTCGAAAATTTGTCCTTGCTTAATAGGTAAGATATAATTTATAGTAAATTTTGGTTTAGTTATATATAATAGTGTATTTTTTGTTTGTAAAATGAATATGTAAAAAATCTTGAAAAAAACATATAGGCTTTGCCTTTTAGATTGGAGGTCTCGAGTTTTAATTCTGACCTGAACAACTTCGTAATACTAACTTCTAACCACTAATTCTGCCGTTCAAAAAAATAAAGAAAAAAAATATAAATTAACAAATAAAGTGAGTTTAAAATACATATAAAAACAAAGTTATAAAAATTGAAAAAATTTTATGAAAAAAAATTATACTAAACTGCAACAAAATTAAATTTTATGCTAAATTGTAGATAGGAGATGGTCCGGTGCATCTGGGTCATGATCTAAAAAGGTAGGTTGAATTTACATATACTTTAATAAATGAGTCTTTTTGTTACATGTTATATTTTCATTCAATTTGTTAAATATCATTTTATAGTTATTTTAAATTAATTTCTTTTTCACGTGTTATTTTATTGGTTTTTCTATTTTAATAAATTTCACATAATACATTAATGTAATAATTACAATACATGTAGTAATAAATAAACATCAATTTTATTAATGAACTTACCTTCTTATTTTAAAATTCTCAAATTAAAGCTCATTAGTTTATTTTGTTTATTTATTTAAATTTTAAATATTAAAGAAAATCAATAATAATAATTCATTATTTTTCTTATTTTCTTATAAATCCAAAGTTATTAAATATTTATACATTTATATTTAATTTTTTTTTTTAATTAACGCATGTAATACATAAGTCTTACACCTATTAAAAATAAATATAAAAGAAAAAAGTAAAGAATAAAAATATTCATAAAAACAAATATATATAAAAAAAATTGTTAAAATAACTTTATAAAAGTGAATTTGTAAAAGCAATGGTTGCATGAACGAACATACAAAAGCAAAATTGTGAAATGAAAGAAAAAAACTAAGCTTTAAACAAGCATATAAAAACTAAATTGTAAAAAATTAGGCAAATTTTGTAAAAAAAAAATTATACTAAACTGTAACAATAAATTAAACTTGAGCAAAAATGGTAAATAAAAATAAATATGATGGTGTGGGTTTGGATACTCGGTAATCTGAATATGAAATCCATGATTCGATACCGATGTTAGTATTGAAAAAACCGATATCATTCCTGTAACGTCCAGATTTTTTTCTACCAAGGTACACCCAAATTTAACAAAAATCATTTAAAATTTTACAAATAATCTTAGTGTACAATGGCACACTAGCATACAATAAGTTATCACAATGATCGTGCTGACAGCAAGCACATGATCGAGTCAGACGTCACAATAAATCTACCTGCAAAACAGATTATCACAAAAACATAAAGTCTCACGGCTTAGTAAACAATAGCTACCAAAACATTATCAAATAAATCATAAATTGTACAAATAATGTAAATCGTGTATATTCCACATAATTGTCACATGTGTAATCATTTCATCAAATGATTTATTTCTTCAGTAATATTCTATCTTTCAAATACCTATCCAATCAATAATCAGTATCTCATTCATATTAAATCCCATTGTAGCACCTGGTTCCTGGTATGTAAATCTTAATTGAGTATTTTCCTTTTTAAGCCTTGGACTCGGCGAGTCATAGGTCCGACTCTCCGAGTAGGGACGAGACCCCCGGGACGCGTTTAAGTTGGCAACTCGGCGAGTCCATATCCTGGACTCGGCGAGTCACCGCTGTTGGATGAAACCCTAAGTTTCTGGGGTTTGCACCCTATTTAATCCCCCTTTCCGCCCCAAGCCAGCCCCCATTCACCCCCTAGAGCTCCCAACCCTCGTTTAAGCTTGTTCTTTGAAGAGTTGAAGCAATTATTGTGTGTACTTGAAGGTTTTGAAGAAGAAGGGAAGTAGATCCAGAAGAAGGGAAGCCATCCAAGCACCATTGTATTCTCTCAGCAGTTCCTTTGAGGTATATCCCATTTTCCCCATGTTTCTATGCTTAAGGCTTCATTTAAGACATTCTTGGCTGATTTCCAAGCTTGTATGTGCATGATAATTCGGAATAAGTTGATTGGTCTCTAGATCCAAGCATAGTTGAGCTCCAGGAGCTCAGATCCACTACCTTTATGAGCCCATATTGCATATAAACCTTAGATCTACTCTTTTGGTGCATTTTGAACCCTAAATCCCATACATGGATATTTACACGTAAAGTTGGAAACTTTACGTGTTATTCATGCTCTAGGAGCTCAGATCTATGAATGACATGGATTGGATTCGAGCAAAATCGCATTTTTAGCTCTTGCATGGAGCGGACTCAGCGAGTCGCTCATCTGACTCGGCGAGTCCAGTCGCGAGTCTTCGGTTCTGTCCCCTTTTTGTTATGTCGAGTCGCGTGGTGAGTCCAGGAGGGACTCGGTGAGTTGGAAGCTAAAACTCACCCATAGTGGAACTCAGCGAGTCGATGCCCCGACTCGGCGAGTTCAAGGCAATCTCCTTAGATCAAGATGAGACTCGGCGAGTTGTTCAAACAACTCGGTGAGTCACGGTATAACTTGTTCATCGGATGAAGATGAACTCGGTGAGTTGTTCATACAACTCGGCGAGTATGATGAAGGACTTAAACATCAGTTTGGAAGGGGAACTCGTCGAGTCGACGCCTAACTCGACGAGTAAAAACATAATTCAGGTCAGTCGTTTGGACATGGACTCGGCGAGTTGGCGAGCCAACTCGGCGAGTCAGGTCAACTGGAAGTTGACTCTGACTTTGACTTAGGGCATGATTAGGGGTAAAATGGTCACTTTATCCAAAGGTCAGTTAGCAGTTTTTGACTAAGGGTTTGGTGGGAATACAGCCGGAGGTGCATGGTCCTTTTGGGTTGCCTTCACCAAAGCAACTTGATTGGAGAAATAAATAAAGAGAGAGAGGTTATTATGATTTATTAATATGTTATAAGAATAATATATTAAAGGAGAAATCATGTTTGTTTAATTAATATTGGTCAATAATTAATTAGGAATTAATTTTGTGATCAAGTGTAATTAATTAAACTAGAGGGGTTGATTTGTAACTATGTGATAGTTACAAAATAAGGTAAGGATTATCTTAAATATAGGGTGAACGAATTTAAGGAGATAAGAATTCGACTAGGATAAGGGTTTCTAAGACTTATCTTATGGTTACTTGGTGGGCAAGCAACTAGATAAGGATAAGAACTAAAACCCTAATCTTTACACCTATATAAACCCCCTAAGGCTCATGAATTCGTGTATCCCTTCCCAAGAAGTCCTAAGGATGAATTCCTACCTCTCTCCTCTCTCTTTATACCTTCTCCATTTGCTCTTGGTGTTTGTAAGCCATTAGAGGAGTGACACTTGTGACTCTAAGCCTTCCAAAGTCAATTCAAGGAGGAATTAGGATTGTTATTGCTACATAACAATCAAGGTAATATCTTAAACCTAATTATATGTTAATATCGATTTCCATATGCTATAATTAGGGTTTATAGTCTTGGATTCAAAGCATGTACAATAGAGAAACCTAGATCCAAGCATTAGGGTTTGTATGAGCACATAGGATGTCTTATGACCAAAACCCATCAGTGGTATCAGAGCCTAGGATGGTTTCAATTGTATTGATGCATTTTATATCTAAAAAATTCGATTTTTTGGTGTTCTAGAGGCTGGACTCGCCGAGTCCATAGCTGAACTCGCCGAGTCCAGGGTGACTCGACGAGTCCAGGCTTGATTCGACGAGTCAACTCGTCAGATAGTGCTTATCTCGGGATTTCTTGTTGTTTTTGCATATGGATAGTTACCTTATCATGTTAAATAAATATTAATCCGATTATATGATATATATTTGACTATATTTTTGATCTAAATGAAGATATTATCAATTAATAAGATAATTGTTTCCTTATAAAATAATTGATTAATTATTTTGAGTAAATTGATAAATTTTTTTGCAAGAAATCATTAAATAAATCAAATATGGATAATTATGTGATTAAATGTTAATTTAAAATTATTTGTTATTTGATCCTTGTTGTTATGAAAAGTTTCATATTTTCCCCTTTAGGTTTTATAGTTTAAATTTGAACCCAAAAGTTTTGAAGTTTTGAAATTTAAATAGTTAAAACCCTAATGTTTTGAAAAAGGTTTCAAAACTTGCCCTCAAGTTTTGGAATTTAAAAGTTGATTAAAAGTTGATTAGGAATGTTAAATTCTAAAACCCTAGTAATGTTTTGAAAAGTTCAAACCACTCCCTTATGGTTTTATTAATTGATTAAAGTGTATAATTAAAAGAGATTTAATAAATCCATAAAAGTTTAGGTTTACAATTTAATTGAATTAAAAGAATAATTGTTAAATTTGATCACCTAATATTTTAAAAGTGTAAAATGCACCCTATACTATATATAACATTAAAAGTCTAACATTATATATATGTATGAGTAAAAGTCAGTCTTACCGTTAGTAGGCCTCATTCACGAAGCTGGTCTATAAGGGGTGTTTAAGGAAATTGCCTATAATATGGCGATTGAATGGGTATCCACTCTTACCCATCGCACTCTTGACTAGTGGAGGGTCGTTAGCCGAACGGGTGGGATAGGACGAAACCTTCCATTATAAGTATAATGAAATACAAAGTAACTAAATGTTTTGCAAATTCTCAATCTTAGTTACTTAGGCAAAAGTGAATTGATGCAATTCCATAAAATTACACTTTGTGCCCTTGCGAAGACGTTAGTAGAGCGTGTGTGGTTTACCGTCACACTAAATGGTTCTAAGCAAAGGTAGCAAAGGGTGACTCAATGTTTGTCATAGTTTGGTGGAGCGTGTGTGGTTTACCGGTACAT